AAGCTACACCTTGGGCCAAAAAACTTGGTTCCCCTCAATTAAACTCGATTATCCATCCACTCGACGTAAATGTTTTTGCCGGATCTTACGGGACACATCCACTTCATTAACTCTGCCGTGCTAAGGAAAAACGCTGTATGAACATTCGAGAGTTGCCAAATCTCTCCGGATAAAACATGTGTTTTTCAGGAAAGTTATGCTTATTTTTCCTTGAAATTTGCATACATTTTAGATTAAATTGCGGGCAAAATTGTCGGACAAACTTAAAGAAAAATGTTAACAATTTTTCTGGTAAATTTGTTTTTTATGAGAAGAGATATGGCAACGTCTGAAGGCTCATACAGCGTTCTTCCTTAGTGTGACAGAACTGAGCCTGGATCCTGATAAATTTGGCATCAACGGGAAGCGTTCCTTTCACCGCTCAGTCTGAGCAAACAGATTAAAATCCTTAGCAATGCAATAATTTTATTCACCCCGTGTCGGGCCTTGTCGCTGAATCGAAGGAAAATCGTCCGAAGTTTCGAAAGTTCACAGGGGGAATCGGGGTGAATTCGGGCGCGATCTGACATCGACCGTCGCTGACACAATTCCAGCTGGCATTGTTTCCTTAATCTCTCTCTTCATTTGTGCTCCGTCGGAGCCGCGTATGTTTAAAAAACCCCGGTGTCTCCCCTCGTTCCACCCTCTCCCCTGTTGCAGTTATCCCGCTTTTCTTCTTCTTCTTTTTACTCGCGGGAAAAACAGAGGGCTCCAGCTTGACTTTTGATGAATGGGCTTCAGCGATGCGCATGATGGGTGCAGAAAAAATATTCCTCCGGCTTTATAAAAAGTCCTGCGGGCTGGTTATTGAAATTGATAGACAAACCGATAGACAAAGAAGACTTAGGGAGTATGGTACGATCCCATTGGTTGAGATGTTTGGTTTCTGTAGACTAAGGGAGAAAATGATGAACTAACTGTAGGGTCTCTCGTGGGTTGCCGTTAGTGCCCATACCTCCTTTGTCCGTTGCAACCACATGCTTCAACCGATAGGATCCTTTTATGACCCTTTTATCCTCTTTATCTATAGCTTTGTCTATCAATTTCAATAATCGGCTCGCTGAAAATAAAAATTCGAAATTCAAAATTCGAGCAAATCTGACGAATGGCTGAAAAAGTGGAACAAATCGATGCGATAAATCGCATGTCGTTTTGACACAAAATATGGCGTTCATCGAATCACCTTAAATTGAATATATTTGACTCTCGACCGGTAATTTTATTAATACATTTAATACATGTTTATTTATTATATTTTTTAATATACATTAGTATTTATTTATATTAAAAAGTGCTATGTTTGCTCAGGCTTGCGTGTGCTACGAAGCCGCATCCACAAATGCTGCGACACATTTGTCCAAGGAGACGACAGGAATAGGAGCGACCGAACCAAGAAGCTTCTTCCACAATTTCCATATCAACTACCCTTATCTATGGAACACATGGAGTCTGTTGCCGAACCGACCAAGAGGCCAGAATGAAGATCTCTCGAGCAGTCAGACCAACGTTAACAATCTCGGTGCAGCCAGTAACGGACACTTGGGAATCGGGTACGTTTGACGTCACGTATACGTCCAAGTAATACGTAAGCTGCTCAAGGGAGGCAAAAGGGTCTAAGCTAAGGGTGCTTACAAGGGGTGCAGTCTTAAGTAATTACCCCGTACTTTGAAAAAGTATATATTGACGGTGTAAGTCGGCAATTACATAACTCAGTTTGCGACATCGTAAGCTTTCTGTCATACTTTAGTTAGTTAGTTATTATAATTTTAAGACATTCAGCGACTCAGGCTATTAACGTCTTTACAGATAATTTTGAAAATAGGAGTATAAACGAAAATTTAGATTTTTAAATTAAGAGAGGTGAAGAGTTTTAGAATTTTGGTGGTAATATTAGGTTCATCGCATGTAAGAGGGTTTGTATTTCTGTTGTTAAACGGAAAACTACTCAACGAAAATTCTTTAAAACTTCCGTGATTTCTTTTCTCTGTGCGAGGAAAATTCTGCATAAACTTCAAGGAATGATATCAATTTGTTCTCCTTTATAAAAATAACATAGAGGCGGAGATTTTCAGACACCGCAAACGCGGTATGTGATTGCCGACTTACGCCGTCAATATATTTTTCGTTGAAGAGAATTTCAACGAAAACGTCGGAATTCTCTTTCTAGTTTCGCTGTAGAAGGAACACTTAACGCCGCTCTACAACTAAGTACTTATTCGTAAATGGACGTATTTCTATCAAACGGAACTATGTGCATTAAGACAAGAGCCCTGAGACCCATAAGAATACACGCATTACAGGGCTCACGTCATAATGCACTAGCTCCGTTTGACAGAAATGCGTCCAAGTATTCTATTAAAACACTCTATTTACACGCAAAAGATCCGCAAAAGATTTTTCTTTGAACATTATTTACTTATTTCTCGCTTTTTTTCCAGGCTAACCATAGATTACGGTAAACGCACAGAGGCCGGTCTCAGCCAAGCGGCCACGGACACGACCCAAGAAACCATCAACGACACCGACGCTCCCATCTCCGTGACAGAAACAGGCGCGGGCGCGGGCTTAGAAGCGCCTTCAAAAACCAGAGCTACCACCCCCGAGACACCGAGCAACCTCAACAAATATGCAACTCACCCGCCGCCCATCATCATACTCGACGCTGCCACATTTCTGGCGCTGAACCGCGATCAGATCCAAGCCCCTCAACCAACAGTGAACCTTCATCAAACCGGGTACAGCATTTTTTTATTTCATCTATTAAATACAAAATTCGGATGGAAGGAACAGCTAAAAAAACTGAGATAACTATTGGTAAAATTGTCCAAACAGACTCCATAATTTTATTGTCTAAGTCATACCGTTTATCTGAAGATTCAAACGTTAAATAAACCACGCTGGAAAAAAAACACATTGGATCTAGAGTCCAGACTCTTGAAAACGTTGACAAGAAAAAGGACTCTTGATTCAATCAGATTTAAGCTTAAATCAAGAACCAAGCCTCTTAATTTGAACGGATTTCCTTTTGATTTAAGCTTAAAACTGATTGAATCAATAGTCCTTTTTCTTGTCAACGTTTTCAAGAGTCTGGACTCTAGATCCAATGTATTTTTTTTTCTAGTGCATTACATAAACAATAAATACTAAAATTAATCAAATAACTAAGAACGAGAAATCATAAAAAATGGGGTTGTCTACATCAACCAATTTAACTTTGATCAGATAGATTTACTTAAAAATGTTATAGAATTAATTCATGGTTTAAGGATTGCTTGATTTCCTCTTGTTCTTGGATTTATAATTAAATGAGTAATAATTAACTATCTTTGATATTTTTGTTTAAAAAGACCAAAGAGCATGCGAAATGACACGGACGTGCACACAAAAAAGGCCTTATATTTTTTTACTATAGTAAGATTTTTGGTTGGGTTAATAATTTTATTCTCACTTTTATCAATCTACTTTTATTAGCAGATTTTTTTTCTGTTATAATAAAAAATATATTTTATTTGTTAGCAGCGTCGCCGCCAGCGAGAAGATCGAACACACCGAATACCCGGATCCGCAAGTGTTGTCGCTTCCCAGTTCACCATTCGTCTCCGAGTCGCGAGTCAATTTCTCGTCGGGGAACCTCGTTTTCCAGGTCGAGACCAAGAACTACTCCTCCGACATAGGCCTGAGGACCGAATCGATCGCTAAACACCCCGAGAGCTCAGCTAACTTCGACATCATCGCAGCGCCCTCCAACGTGGCGGCGAATTACACCCCCTCGGAGAATACCTCAAATACAAACGCGGTAAGCAACGTCTCGGTTTCAGAGAATGACGTCACAGTGTCTTCATCAACCACCATAGTCCCCGCGCTTAAAGATGACCTCGCCAAGGAGTCAGAAACCACCAGCAAAAACGAGACCGTAGTGGAGAAGGATCTTTCTGCTGGAACCGAAGAAGGAAAGAAGAAGCCGTCTGTATTGCCTACATCATCAACTACATCCCCGATTCCGACGTCCAAGACGTCGGGGCCACCGCTTCTGATCCGGGCTCACTACTACCCGGTCTCCGGCAACTTCTGGTACCCGCACAACGGACCGTACCACTCCTACACAACGGAATACGCGCCGCCACCACCGCAAGTGTACCAGGAGCCCCAGGTGTACCAGGAGCCGCAGGTGTACCAGAGCCCGCAGGTCTTCTTCACGAACGGCTACTCGGCGACGTCGCAGTACGACCGACCGGCGGAGCTCTACGGGCGGCCGCAGAAGCCGATCTTCACGCCGGCCGCGGCAGCCCCGGCGGACGGCTACGGCGAGGCCTCCTTCTACGACTACAAGCCGGCGACGAAGCCGGTGTACCTGACCAAGGGCACGACCCCGTACCGGGGGGTGACCATCTACCTCGAGTCGGAGCCGGAACCGACGACCCCGGTCCCGTCGACCGTGTTCTCGGCCAGCGAGGTGACGACCGAGAGGCCGAGCATCAACTCCTGGTTCCGGCCCCCGCAGTTCATCAGCAATATCATCAGCGTCCTCCACAAGGATAACGTCGGGAAACCCAGGGATAAGGTCAAGCCTACGCCTGCGCCCAAGCCTCCCAGTCGAGCGCTTCATTGAACGATTTTCAGACTAAAGAGACCTAGGGTATCTATCAGTATAGCTTGACGGTTCAAGCTAAGGAAGAACGCCGTATAAGCCATCAGCGGGCCGATTATTGAAATTGATAGACGAAACTATAGATAAAGAAGATAAAAGGGATATTGAAGGATCCTATTGGTTGAAGCATGTGGTAGCAACGGACAAAGAAGGTCAACGGTGCAAGTCAACAATCACATAATTCGGTTTGCGACGTCGCAGACTTCCTATCATACTTTATTTATCAAACGGAAAACTACTCAACGGCCATTCTTTAAAACTGCCGTGATTTTTCTTCTCAGTGCGAAGGAAATTCTGCAAAAACTTCAAGAAATGATGTCAATTTGTTCTCCTTTAAAAAGATAGTATACAGGCGGAGATTTTCAGACACCGCAAACGAGTTATGTGATTGCCGACTTATACCGTCGAGGTAGGTAATAGACTAGCTAACGGCAACCCACGAGAGACCCTATAGTTAGTTCATCAACTCAAAACGTGACTCAAAATGTAAACCAAGAAGTTAAAAATTGCATACTACTTTATTTTAAGAGGAGTGATAAAAATAATTTTCTCCTATACCTCACATGTAAATTTTATAATTGGACGTAGTTCTACCAAACAGACCTATGTGCAAGTGAGAAATATGGGGTGTGCTCGTTAGTCTCTGGCCGTAAGAGTGAATGAGAATAATTGTGCGCCAGTGACGTCAGCGGCAATGAGAGTGCGCACTCTAACGACGGGGAGATCGTTGGAGTGAGCCCTTAACTCATGAGCCCTGTGCACAAGGCTCTCTTGTCATGCCCGCGGCTCATGAGTTCCGCATTAAGCTGCACATAGGTCTGTTTGATAGAATGTAAAATCCCGCTTTTCCAATTCTTCAAAAGGAACTACGCCCACTTTTACATTGCTTCTTATGCAGATTTCTAGAGCACACCCCACATTTCTCATCGCCACATAGGTCTGTTTGGTAGAAATACGTCCAATTTTGTATTAAACATTACAATGAGAGTAGTATTGACCGTGTTTAATCGTTATGACTTAGGGAATACCATGTTCTGCGGAAAAAATAGCAAGTCTGGACTTGTGTTGAAGACAGTGTAAGCATGCTTAGACGCGAATTTACTCAGGCCTATTATCTACTCAGGAGGTAATCGACAATCTAAGTCACTATCAACTATAATAAGTTATGTACAATTTTCAACAGATGTCTGTGAATAAGTTTGTAGGTAGGTAAGCACAAATAAATTTTTTAACGTTCTTAAAAAGTCGTCTTCTTATTACTTGATGCATATTGGCAAATGTGTTTGAATGATTTCTGACAAATATCGGACTAATTTTGGACTAGTTTACGACTCGTTCAAGAATATTCACGGTATAAATTTCAAAGTAACGTTTGATCACTTGATTTAAAACAAATGAATGTAAACGAAAATGTTCAAATGTTGCAATAGAAATATGCATTTTTCGACTTTGATAATAAATACATCAGAAATTCAAATGATAGATTCCTTAAGAACTGACCAAATATTCTCGACGTCATCGAGGAACTGATGAGTTCAGTTCGATGCTCTCAAAAATTCTCAAATACTGAGTCCAGTGCTTGATTAGTGAACTGTTAATGAGAAATTAATCACTATTCTATCGTCCATCGTCTTCGCCTCGGCAAGCCAACTTTGTTACGACCCCCTATTCGTGAGTCCACGTCCTTGACGCAGGTAAGTTTTTTTTTCGCTATTCTTGTAGATTGTAACTCTATAAAAAAGTGAATATTCATTTTTCTTGCATTTTTCCTCGCAGCTGTATTCATCAAGATGGTCATCATATTTTTAAAAATTTCTTAATTTTTCTAAGATGTAGGCTCACGCAAAAATAACTCGCATTCAACTGTATTATTGTGAGTATTGCTTGAAAGAAATTAAAATTTTTAATTGTTAGGTAATAATCAAGGTTGAAAACGTTAAAATTTATACAGAACTTAACTTCCAAAAATGGGAAATATTGGGAAATATTGGAAAATAATTGATCACAGATTTACAATGAATCCACGAGTAAAGATTTTTTTAAGCCAAATTTACACGGAAATTTTAAATACATTAAATTTTTATTCGAAGAGGTCCACCATACAATTTTTAGCAAGGAATCTCTGAAAAAATCTCAGAGTATGTCAGAGCATATACTTCTCGGAAAAGTCTTGTTAAACAAAATTTAAATATCTCATAGGTGCTATNGGGGGGGGGGGGGGCCATACGGATGAGACGCAACCCCCTTCCCCCTGCTAAGCCATGCGTAAGAATAAACAACATACAGCTGAAAATGTGTGACGTCACAAATGTACCAATATCAGTAAGAGTAAGAAAGTTTTTGTTCATCTGCGTTCTTGTCTCAATGAGTTTCAAAAAAGGGGTGCAGCGGGCGGCATGGGACAATTATATACGAATAAATGCATTCAATTCAACTACTGTCAAAACGGCGACAAGAATTTTTATCCGTATAAAATAAATACTCCCCTAAATCCACGATCATCAGTGCATAACAGTGGCGTGGCGTGAATGATCGATTATCGATATTTCTCCATTTGAAGCTGCACTAAAGAATCGATTATTTGCGGACACCTTGCTAATCAATCCTGTTTCATAGATTTAAATAGCAGATCAATCGATAAATCGCAAAGCACGCCACGCCACTGGTACATAAGTGGTAGATATTTGAATAATTATACAAATAGGATAAATCAAAAGTGAAAGCATGGCTGATTTGCATGCAAGAGTTGCGGTAACCAGTCATGAAAAGTCGAGATAAAAATTGAGACGGGTATATATTGTACTCATGCAATTTGGATGATGCGTCCTCGTTGAATCCTGAATTAAGTAGAGTAGTAATGACAAAGACAGCGCGATGCGGGCGGGCGAAAGTGAGAAATGCGTAGGAGCGCATTGCGAAAGGACGGCTTTCCGGACCCGAAGGACCCGAAAGTCGGCTTTCGAGGAGACAGTTTCCAAAATTTCAGTCTTATCAGAATTCACTGATTTAAGGGAACGTTTCAGAGGACTAGAAATGGGAGAAATACAAAAACAAAAATATTGGACCTCATTGCACAGAACGACCTATACCATGGTTCGAGAATGCAGCCTGCTTTAAAATATGATTTAAGGGGAGGGGGGAACACCGCATCAAATGAATGAATGAATGAAATGTTTTCCAGAGGGTCGGCTGAGAGACATAAGTTTTTTCCTCCGGTTTCAGGGTATGGAACTGAGAAATTCTTAAGGAATGGATTTTTGGACGCTCATTACAAGTTATGTGTGCAGTGTGACTTCCTTAGTTTCAACTCCAAATGGATGTCATGTTCAACCTCCATCTGCAATCAAACATGTTGATAACCAGGTACATATATCATTATTTATTATGAGCAAGAAATACTTTCGTTACGATGAGTCTGGGAAAACAATCGCTTTTCGTTCGAAATAACAACATGGATGAGTACTGGTGCAACAGAAAAACAAATGTAATATATAGATATTGAAAGTTCCGCAAATTTGCATGCATGAAAAACTTGGGTGACATTTTCCAGTTTTAAAACGAGGTATCAGCCATTATTAATTTTTTTATGTGTAGATTTTCCCACACGACCACTAATTCCAATTAATTCCACTAATTTACCCACACCTAACTCTCCTCAATCGAGTCGTATGGGAAAGCTCATACATAAAAAATTAATGATGGCTGATGCCTCGTTTGAAAATTGTAATTTTTTTAAACGATAGCCGAAATCAAACTTTTGATTTTCTAAATCAGTTGACACCGTTGTACCGACTTTTGAGATTGTGCTTCATTGCTGTTGAGTATACCCGCCGTTTTTGTTAAAATTTGTCACGACCGTCACATGTTACTACAGTCACACCGCATAGGATGTTTTGCGTGTAAAAAGGATGATGGGAAAATGCCAGATAAAAAAAGGCACCCGTATTAAAGTTTTAAGCCTGATACTACACTTGACTAGGAAAACAAACCATCCATCCAAAATGATCAAGTTGAATTTTTAATTTTTGCGAGGTCAAATTGAACAGTTTTCATAGAATTGTCCATGAGCGTTTCACGGCGACCGGCGACCGCACTGTGTTTGCCGCAATGAGTGAAGTATTCCTGCACTCTCGTAGGCGCTGATATGCTTTCCGCGCCGACTAGCGACGGCACTGTGTAAGGCGCAATGCGAGAAGTATTCCTGCACTCTTGAAGGCGCCATCCATGATATGGAATACCGAGCGTTCTGTCCTGTCCGAATTTTTATTTTCCATGTATGAATAATATTGCGACGTTGATTTTGCAGGTGCAGATCGTTCCGTTCGTGCAAGAGACGGGCTCCTACCTCCCACTGGCCATTCAAATCTGCTCGAACGTGGTCGATCAGACCCTCAACTCGCAAATGAAACAGATTGTCTACGACTCGTTCGTATCGAAAGAGCTGAGCTCCGCGCCACCGACCACTCTTGTCGACGACGCGCGCGCAGAACCTGACACGGGAGCACCCGCCACCGTTTCAACTCATTCCAAAACGAACAGTTCCGTCGCGGCGCCCGGTTCCCCACAGCAGAGGTCCCTTTCGACCCCAGTTGAAAAGGACGCCTCGCAACCGAGGCTTGTTTCAGATGATACTCAAGCTTCGCAGTTCCAAGTTGAAACCGAGACCTCACAAACGGCTTCTTGTTCGGATCTGGTGGAAACGGAGCCCCCGCGGGTGGAAGCCTTTTCCGATTCCGACGAAAAAGAGACTCCTCAGGCGAGACCTTTCTCGACTCCGGTCGAATCCGATACGCCGCAACCGAGACCTCTCTCGACTCCGGTCGAAACCAAAGCTCCGCAGCCGAGACCCTTTCCGATCCCAGTCGAATCCGATATGCCGCAACTGAGACCCTTTTCGCCCCATGTCGAATCCGATACGCCGCAACCGAGACCTCTCTCGACTCCAGTCGAAACCAAAGACCCGCAGCCGAGACCCTTTCCGATCCCAGTCGAATCCAATATGCCGCAACTGAGACCCTTTTCGTCCCCTGTCGAATCCGATACGCCGCAACCGAGACCTCTCTCGGCTCCAGTCGAAACCAAAGCCCCGCAGCCGAGACCCTTTCCGATCCCAGTCGAATCCGATATGCCGCAACTGAGACCCTTTTCGCCCCCTGTCGAATCCGATACGCCGCAACCGAGACCTCTCTCGACTCCAGTCGAAACCAAAGCCTCGCAGCTGAGGGAAATTCCGACTCCACTCGGAACAAAAACCCCGCAGCCGAGACCTTTTTCTCTACCAGGCGCGATGGAGACCCCACTACCGAGACCAGTCGAGACCGGGTACTTGCAGTCCGGGACCTCTTCAACCTCGGTCGAAAGCGAGACCTCTACGGAGTCGGGAAATTTCGAGCTGCTGCGGGCCAAGTACGAGTCCCAGTTGAAACGGATCATGGTGTCGGAGCTGTTCGACGCGGAGAGAGCGCCAGTGGAGGAGGGACTGCTCTTCAAGAGCGACGCGGGAGCGGGGGTCGTGTCCAACGAGCTGGACTCTCTACCGGGCTCGAAGGAGGACCCCAACTACTGGCAGCCGGACGTCGATAGGCTCTTGGATTCCATCAAAGTCGCCGAGATGTTCCGGCAAATCTCGCCGGAGCTGCTGTGGCTCGGGGAGCTGAGGGATCATCTCATAAGTGAAGCCATCCACAAAAGACTCAGGAACACCTCCGTAAGTACCGACCCTCATGGTTGGATGCTGCCATGCTTAGGCCTTGTCTCCACGAGCCGTTTCACGAGATTTGTCCCAGGGAAAAATCCCACTTACGAAGTTGGGAAAAATATTGAGTTAATCAATATTTTTCCCAGTACCAAGTATGGTACTTGCACTCCCAGGACCCACTGAGAGAAGAAGAAGAAGTGAAAACGAATTGTGCGATATTTTATTCATTACTACATTGTTCATGTTTGTTTAGTTAAAATAATGTGTCTAATTGTCAATTGAGTGCAATTATCATTTTAATCCCGGTTAAATACTCGACTTTAACTAATTTATCTTCCCGCGCAAACTAGTCGCAGGACTGTATGAGCCCCGTCCCGTGGAGACGGTAACTGGGAAAAATCCCAGAAGTTTCATTCCTGCGATTCGAACTTGGGACAAATCGCATGAAAACGTCCCGTGGGGACAAGGCCTAAGGAAGAACGCCGTATGAACATTCAAGAGTTGCCGAAATTACCGGAATAAACATGAATTTTTTAGGAAAGTCATGTTTATTTTTCGGTGAAATTTTCAGATACACTGGGAAAAAAAACACATTGGATCTAGAGTCCAGACTCTTAGAAACATCGATAAGAAAAAATACTCTTGATTCAATCAGATTTAAGCTTAAATCAAGAACCAAGCCTCTTAATTTGAACGGATTTCCTTTTGATTTAAGCTTAAATCTGATTGACTCAAGAGTCCTTTTTCTTGTCAATGTTTTCAAGAGTCTGGACTCTAGATCCAATGTGTTTTTTTCCCAGTGTATTTTAGATTAGGTTGCGTGCAAAATTGTACGAAACACTTAAAGAAAATAATTCACAATTTCTCCAGTGAGCTCGTTCTTTGTTGAAGGAAATATGGCAACGTCTGTAGGTTCATTCGGCGTTTTTCCTTAGAGAAGATTTGGCTACCTTTATTTCGTATGCGGCGTTTTCCTCAACATGGAAGAGAAAAGCATTAACAGTTGAAGGGGAAGTCTCCATTGGAGTCTCTTATGCCTTAAAATTGGTCACAAATTTTAATTGCTCAAAAAGAAGTTTTCACGGGGCAAATTACTTATTACTATTCGTATTACTTTTGATCACTTTGAAAGCATGACACATTTGTGGGTTACTTTTGTATTAAAAGGGTAAATTCGGTGTTTTAGTTGAGTCTCCTCGTGTTTTTGCTCGAATAGCTAAATTTTGAAACATTTTCTGCGCGATTTTACTCAGAGCGGAAAGCTGCCTGTTGATAATTCTATTGAGTTTTGCATTTACGTGTTCACAGGGATTATCGAGCGATGTGATTCAGTTTTTGTACCAAATTGATAACGTCAACGCCAGGGATCAAACTTTAATCATCCTCAGGAAAATCCTACAGACCGGAGATATCACCGAGCAGAAAACGGTGGAACTCGCCCAGAGGATACTCGGCCTGCTCGACTCCCCGCGCAGTAGATTGTCGCAAATAATCGCACGCTGCACCTCCATCCGTTACTCATAGGATTCCTTTAGTGAATATTAGGACTTTGGTAATTTTAAAGAAATGCAATATTGGTTAAAAATGTGTTTGCACGTTTCTTCTTATTGCAGGTAGATCTTTTAGAGATATTCCAATAAAAAAACAATTCAACGATCCTTTCAGAAGTTGTAGACGGTTGTAAGTTTTTGAACGCCCCCCCCCCCTTGCTCCCACATGGGAGGCCTACACCAAAAATTCCTTTGGATTTGAACACCTCATATACACATTGCACATGTCAGAGATCACCCACTGTATGCTTTGACTGATTGTGAGCTATCAACAAACCTATTTCCCACAGCATAAAAGCCTTCCGACTCTTACTCCTATATTGAATCAATTTAACCGGCATCAGCCCAAATATATCAGATCAAAAGTTTCCTTATTTTCACGTATTTTGCTTTTAACAGAAAACCAAGCAACACTGAACCTATAAACTTTGTGAGTGTGTTCTTCATGATGTAGAGTCAATCCTTGAGAAGTTAATGTGAAGGCGTTAAAAAGTTGATTTATCGGTAAAAAAAATGGTGCGTGTAATCGCAGTTCCATCGCATTAATTTGTAAAATTAGTTTAATATTTTCGTTGCACTGTGCTCCAGTCGGGTCGACAAACGGAGGGGGGAGGTAGGGTGTGTCTTGGGCGGGGATTGGAGGAGAGGAATATTGAATAAAGGATTCGCTCTATCTCAAGTGCTACCATTTTTGCAATGCAAAGACCGCCGAAGATGTTTTTACGCATTCGCCTTCTTTTCTTACCTAGCGTTTAAGTCTCCAAACGCATCCGTAGCTCCTTTACCGGAAGCCGTGAGGGCGTATCTTAATTTCCACGTGACGCATTTGTCTACTTTTCTTACATAGCGTTTAAGTCTCCAAACGCATCCGTAACTCCTTTACCACAAGCCGTGAGGGCGTATCTTAATTTCCTCGTGACGCATTTGTCTACTTTTCTTACTTCGCGTTTAAATCTCCAAACGCATCCGTAGCCCCTTTACCACAAGCCGTAAGGGCGTATCTTGATTTCCTCGTGAGCAGAAAGCATGGATTTACATGTCAAACAGGACTCATGTGGAAACTGGGATACGGCCTTGCGTCAGAGGGCCAAGGGGCGACGATATATACGTTCGAAAAAGCATTAGTGCTGAACGATTATGCTGATGCTTGTTTACCCATTAAAATATACGTTACGCATAGTTGCGTACTCCTAAATATACGAATGTTGTTACCAAAATCTTTTTAACTTCTAAAAAAAAAAAGCATGCGCCTGAAAATTAGGCGAGCGTGAAGGCACCTTTAAATTAAAACCAGTGAGAACGAAAACACACCAACTCGAATAAAAAATGAAAATAATCAAGACACACGCAAAACCGCACGGAAGTTGAAGAAGTTAGCATAAGAAAAATATTTTTGGTGCCGAAAATGTATATCAATTGCAACGATTTAGAGACTGGAACTGCGTAAAATTTATTTGGGTTTAATAAAAAGAAAATAGAACGGACGAAAATATCGCGTCGAGATTTTTCGGGATCTTATTTGAGATCATTCCCGAAAATTCCCCGAAAAACTCCCCTCCTCCCCGAAAACTCTTCAGGAAAACTGTGTTTTAGTTATCTTAAAAAACCTCGAAATAAAATAAAATATGAGAAGTTGCAATCAGATAAATACCTTTTTACTTTCTCGCTCCCCTAGTTTCGTATGCCCGTGCAGGCGTCGATATATGAATTGGACTCCATTTTGCAATTTGGAACTATAAATTGTAGCCCGGTATAAAAACAACGTATGTGCCATCAGTTTGCAATTTGGAACTATAAATTGTAGCCCGGTATAAAAACAACGTATATGCCATCAGTTTCCCTATACACATAAGTATTCTTTCAGAAGAACCAGAATTTAAGTTCCAAATTGCAGAGTGCAGTCCAATTCATCCATGGCAGGCGTAACACGAGTGTAGGCATATTTGCCACTAGCCGAATTGAAGGCGCGTCACACTGGGAAGATAACTCCATTAAGGGATTATCGAGCGCCTAGCCCGTCACCCTTCCCCGCAACGCCCGCGGTTCGCGCTGATAAGAATATTCGTCGATTTAAGATGTTACATCCCGAAACCGGTAAATCAAAACTGAGTTCCTGATACCGCATCGGTTTGACCGTCGCGTCCCGCCATGGCGCCGCTCGCCTCCATTTAACTTACTCAACTTAATGTAACTTCCTTAACTTAATGTAACTTAATTTAACTTAACGTGCCTCGTACACATTCAAACAAAATGCAACCTGCGTGATACCTATGATCTGAATTATTTATGTTACCCCTTAAACGATGGGATAAAATTTAAAAGTGCGTGCTCCACCGGTCTTTTGGTTAAATTTCAGTGTGTGCTTGGAGTTATTTCACCCGTTCCAATATGATTGCTAAACGCTTTTTGGATCTGGGTATGGTTTTGATCATTTTTTTGGCGCTCCTGAAATGCTCGTCCTCTCTCAAGGGCTCCAAATATTTTATGCTCGGACAACAACTTTCAACCACAGGTTTGTGCGTGCATCTAAGATTCTCTCCTTTTTCATTTTTTAAGACATACAGAAAAACATATGTAGTCGGATTCAAATTAGTTTTGTTAGCTCGTCTCGTAGGAAAAATTTTCAAACCCACCTCAGTTTAGTACTCCCAACACTTGGTAGGAGACAGGTATCTTATACTCATAAGGATCTCCAAGATCCATTATCAATTCGATGCCTACCAGTCTAAGGAAAGATCCTGATGATTTGTCATAAAAAGCTTACTGCTTGTCTCTGTTAGGCACAATTCCACCAGTGTCTGCAATTTTTATGGGTCTCAAAGATCTTGTTTAAAGAGACATTTATCTTTGAGTTTTCTCCACCGAAATGACACCCCAAGGGTGGATTGCCTTCAATTCAGTTCTTTATTAAATATCAAAATCATATTCTATTCGATTTAGAAGTTGTGCGACTAGTTAGGCGGATGGAGGACGGTAGAGGGGCTAAAAAACAGGGTGGGTCAGAGTAAACCGCTGGACCCTTATTTAATTCAAATTACAACACTTTTAAAGTTTTGCTTGATTTACGATTTGCAACTATTGAGAGATAGGGTTTTTAATTTTAAATATTTTTCCTCCCCTATGATCAGTATTCAAGAAAATCGAAGGGTTGGATTTTTTGTAGGGGAAATTTAGTTTTTTATTCTTCAACTAATGAAACGGGAAAGAGAATTTTGTATTACCTTGCGCTCTAAAAATGCTTTAGGGTAAACATTGCATTAACTTGGGGGGAATAATGCAGTATTCTGAAAGTCTTCAGCACACGAGGATATTTACTTTTATATTTTACTTCAACAGACCTACTTGAAGCATAAAAATGTTGACATTTTCCCTCAAGTTTCTACGTTCAATCCAGTTCCGTAAGTTTTGAAAATATTCAAAAACAAAATTATTCCGGTTTACATGAAATGAAAATTTTCTCCGTCGACAAAGAAATAATTTTTTAAGTGTTTCTGTCACATTACTTTTAGAATTTGTTCATTTCAAAGATTGTAGGTATGATAATAGATTACACAAAATAAAGGCTATATAATTATTGCATTTTGTTTTGTATAACCTCATAAACTGTTTTCTCTTAAATCCTGCAGTTGTGTTTTACTCGACCGTGTTGGGCTTGATGGGCGTAGCTCTGGGTATCTTCATCGCCATGGACAATCTACGGAAACAGGAATCTCATCCAAAGCCGATCTCAAGGCTCCTCAGTTCCATAGCTGATTTTAGGCTTGGACAAAACTTCTTAAGACTTTCCCCTTATTCAACACTAGTAAGTATTTCTGCGTGCGTCTATACGTGAGTTAGTTTATGTAAGAACGCCTGTTAGAGCCTTGCCTTGCTTTGCTTTAAATAATCAAGCTTTTAGGGGACGATGTTATTAAATTTGACGGCATTTCGGGAAATTGAGCTTTTGCCCCCATTTAGAAAGTTTTACCGTCTTTCAACGTTAATATAAAAAAAATGTGCATATTTCTGAGAAATATAAAGACGGATTGGCTACGGGAAAGTATCGTATTCTATACAGCAATCTATCTCAGCATCGAATGCAGAGTTTTTGTCAAAACCACAAATCTTATTATTTCATTTCTTCGAAATTTGCAATTTTTTGTGAATGATATATTGAACTTATGCTCAAGGGTTATCGTAGTTTTTTTTTTTTTTTGCCTAAAGTTACAATTTTCCAACAAAAAAAATTGGGTAATTAATGCGATGTATTGCACGTCAGTTCGACCCAAAGACATTGTTCGACCACGCCAAGAGGCTGGAGCGAAGTACAAGTACCTTCATTTAGAAAGGGTTGTTTGTTTTTTTTTTTTTTTTTTTTTTTTTTTTTTTTTTTTTTTTTTTTTTTTTTTTTTTTTTTNTTTTTTTTTTTTTTTTTTTTTTTAATGACTATGATTTGTCTGTGAGCACTTTTTAAACATTTTAACGCAATGTTTCCATTTTGTAAACGTTTCAGTTGAATTCTGACGAGAGGAGTAAGTTTGGGGGCATTAGAACGCCCAGTGGCAGTGCAACAGGGATGCCATCAATGATCTCAAACGAAAACCTGATCGGGAAGAAAGGAAAGCCACAACCTTATCCACTTTCCGCCGACCAAACTTTTCTAAAACCGAGCTCCAATGAATGGCGTTCTCTGGCTACATTATTTCATAAAATCTCTCTCGTTGCGCACGTTCTCATGTACCTCATCATTTTGATAAAGTGTTTTCACTAAAAAAAAGAAAAACAAACAATTTATGTCTTTTACTTTCTTCTCTTTTACCTTGATCCACCTACTCTTCAATGGGATTGGGGCATAGACTAAGTAAGGTAATAGTCACGGCGCTCAACAAATGGCTTAGCGGCCTCCATCGATGACAATCAAAGTAGCATTAGAATGAACGTAGGTCCCTCCAAAAGTTATCCATTACATTTTCTCTCTTCTGATCCATGTGTAATTTTTACAACCGAAGATACGAAAGACGTAATCTGGTAAAAAAAAATGTCATCTCAATATCGCGGAAAATACGCGATTTTCATATTTATGCAAGCATTACAGTCGTAACATCAGTAACTTGGAAAGTTGAAAAGCTACGATTTTCCTTCAATTTCGCGTGATACCACATACCTACTCTGGAGTTTGAAGAAATGATCGCATCGCTGTATGATGAAGAGCAAAATTATGCGATTTCACCTCCAAATCGCGAGAAATAATATTTTTGACGGACTCGTTAAATCAAAAGAAATTACGCGCCTTTCAGCCCAGCACAGTAAGAAATGCGCGATTTTTTCTTTTTTTAAATGAGGAATTACGCAATAATTACTGTAATATCTCAGCTGAGTAATACGCAATTCTTTCGGCGGTTTTCTAAAATCATGGAAAATTACCTGTAATTCGCCTCAACATCGCGAAAAATTGCAAATTTTCCACAGCTTGATCAAGATGACAAACATTAAAAAATTTACATATCAATATCACGGATGACACGCGAATTTTTTTTTATAGAGATTAAGATATCTCTGTGATTTTTACAGTCAAGAGAGACGTAATCCAACAAAGAGAGACGAAAAATTTAATCTCAATATCGCGAAAAATACGCGATTTTAATATCCATGCGAGCATTACATTCATAAACGTGCGTAATTTGAATAGTTAAAAATCTATGGTTTTACTTCATTTTTGCGTGATAACACATACCTACTCCGGAGTTCGAATAGTTGCTCGCATCATGCGAGCATTACATTCATAAACGTCCGTAACTTGAATAGTTAAAAAGCTATGATTTTCCTTCAATTTTGCGTAATACCACATACCTACTCCGGAGTTCGAATAGTTGGTCGCTACGTTACCACGTGTGAAGAAGGGAGAAATCACGCGAATTCATCTCAAAATCGCGAGAAACACGCAATATTTTCGACGGTTTCATTAGAGCATATGACATTATACGCGCGTTTCATCTCCGTTTCTCGTCAAATGCGGGATTACTCGAGATTTTTAGGATATGAGAAATTACGCCATAATGAGTACAATATCACAGTGAATACTCAATTTTTCCGGCGGTTTCGTAAAATTATTCATAATTACGCGTTTTTCACCTTTAAAACGGCACATAAACAAGTTTACTTTCGGTTGACTGGGAACACACAATTTTCTACTCTATATCGCGGAAAATATAGCATTTTCATGGCAATGAGAGCATAAAATTCAGCAAAGTTAGTAACTTGAGATAGGTGAGAAGTTATGATTCTCCTTCAATTTCGCGTGATACCACAAACGTACTCCGGCGTTCGAATAGTTGCTTGCTTGGTTTCTGCGTGTACAAAGCGCGAGATAGCGCAAATTTTATCTCAATATCGCAAGAAATACGCGATATTTCCAGCGGATTCCACCAATGGAAAGAAATTACGTGTTTTCTATCTCGGTATAACGAAAAATTTATGATCTTTCTAGCAATTTTTTTAAGGCTAAGAGAAAGTACGCGATAATCGTCGCAATATCGAGGCAAATGCGCATTGATCCAGCCTGTTAAATTCCTAAAAACTATGCGTTTTTTATTTTTATGTCAGCATCACCAGTTCTCAAATTTTCCAGCAATTGATTTACAACGAAAAAAACACACATTTTTCACATCAATATTGGTTAAGATACGCGATTTTTACATCAATGCGAGCTAATTCATAAACATCACTAACTTAAGATAGGCGAAAAGCAATAAATTTCCTTCAATCCTGCGTGATACCTCACACCAACTCCAGAGTTCGAATAGTTGCTCGCTCAGTTTCCGCGTGTGAGAAATTACGCGAGATTCGTCTCAATTTCACGAGCAATGCGTGATATTTCCGCAACGGATTCCACCGATGGATACAAATTTCGTGCTTTCCATCTCGGTATAGCGGAAAATGCGTGATTTTTCCAGGAATGTATGTAAGACAATGAGAAAATACATTAGGATAATCACCGTAATGTTCGGACAAGTACCTACAAATTTTCGGCGTAATTGAGGTAAAAATTGTGTGTTCTTTTGCGTTATTAATCAACCACTGGAAATTTTATACATAGGTCGGGCCTAAAGTAACTTAAAGGTGACTATATCTTTTGAAGAAGGTAAAAGCGGTACCGGTTTGGACCATTACTCATTATGGAAAGGGACTGATTTTTTTTTAGAAGTGGCTCATTTGGGCCGCGGGGCCCTTCCTGCGTGAAGCAAAGCAACTCGAAATTGTCGAATGGCAAACCCCCTCCCCCCTTCTGATGCATTGTTGGAAAAATTATGAAAAACGAGAATGCTCGCGCAACCCGGAGATCAATCCAACTTTTCGTTGTCGAGATATTCACGATAAAAGTTCAATTTGGACCAATTTACAAAAATTGATAATTCCTGTTCGAAAAGTCGCAACAACGCCGTCCACGGGTGAAAATTCGTAGCACTGCCACTTCGTTTATAGCTAGGTTGTCGGAGGATGTGCTACTAGTTAATTTGCTTGGGGGGAGGGGGGCACTTGCCGCCTGAAAATCTGACATCAGCGTCATTTTTCATTCCCCCCCCCCCCCAAAGAGAACTAACGAGAAGCACATCCTCCGATAATTTAGCTATTAATGAGCCTCCCGATCGACAAAAAAAAACAACAGAAATCAGTGCGAATCAAAACACAGTTTGTAAGAAATATTGGCAATTTAACAAAAAATACGCTTTTAGATGGAAGGAAGAAGATATGAGCTTTGAAAAGTAACTTACCAATTATGAAGGAGGTAGTGGGCCTTCACCAGGCGAGCTGCAAACAAAAAGGAAGGATTAATTAATGAACTAATAAGTAATAAGAGGACAGTTTCTTTCAATGGTTTATTTTTACAAAAAGTTTCCGAAAAAATTGGGGCACGCCGACTGGCTTTAGGGTGAGTTTCGCAGAATGATCCTGTTGTAAACTTTAGCCACAGCATTAAGGAGAGTTGTTTCTCAAAGAGAATGGAGCAAAAATCACGCTGACTCATCGTGAAAGCCTGAAACACATTAACTTCACAATCTGCAGCTTCCCGCTTCTAAAACGATACTACACAGATGAACACTTCGTGGGAGGAGTCGTTCCATCTAACTCTTGCGACTAGGATGCTACACAATATTCAAAATGAGTGACGCTTCTGCGCGCAAATTGGGAGGAAGAACCATAGACTTAATCAACGCAAGGAAAATGTAAATATGAACACGGCGGTCGATAAAATCCCGTTTCCTCCCATAGTATCGTTGTATCGTTTTTGAAGCGGGCAGCTTTAAAAAGACAAATATTTCTTACGCATAGATTGTGAAGATAGGAGTGTGTTTCAGACTTACCCGATGCAGTCATAGTGATTTTGGAGCCATTTTCTACAAAAAATTAAGACTTCTGTTGGCTTTAGCTGAAGTTAGGAACAGACCCATGTGCAAATGGGCTGTTTTTTTTTTAGAGAAATTATTAACAGGGGTCCCCGGTTCTCCCTGGTAGAAAACGTAGAAGACGGCCTGCCAAATCGTGGATTGAGTTAATGGGGCAGGAAATGAAGAGATGCGATCAGCCGGAGGAGTTCTGGCTAGATCGCAATCAAGTGGCGGTTGGGTGTCTCAGAGCGCACAGAAACGCTATGAGAGAGACTTGTTAGTTAGTTATTAACAGGGGCATGTTTCCCTGCACTGGGGGAAAAAAAACACACTGGATCTAGAGTCCAGACTCTTAAAAACATCGACAAGAAAAAGTACTCTTGATTCAATCAGAATCTAGCTTAAATCAAGAACCAATCCTCTTAATTTAAGCGGGTTCGTTTTGATTCAAGCAAAAATCCGATTGAATCAAGAGTATTTTTTCTTGTCAATGTTTTCAAGAGTCTGGACTCTAGATCCAGTGTGTTTTTTTCCCAGTGTGTGACATAGGCGTGGTTAGGGAATTTTGGCACGGGAGGTCTAGCTCTAGCCTCTCTACCACTGGGGTTGGGGGGGGGGGCATGTAATAACCCCCCGGTACAGAGGAGGGTCCGGCAAGCCTTCCCCGGAATATTTTTGAAATTTTAAATCTATTGAGACGTCTTTTGAGGCTTGTATCTAGTGCAACTGACCCATTCGGCTTGCAGAGTGACATTGGATGAAATTTAATAACAAGAAAGGAAGAACCACTAGATATACGTACCAGATGAGAGTTATCCAATTGCCCGACGCCAAGCTGAAAGCACTCACAACGCGACACCATCACTGAAACCGCACTGCGCACTAAAAAATTGGCCACCAAAAGGTGGCCAATGAATACTAATAATTTGAAAACATGTACAGATTCACCAGGAAATGAATCATACTAAAATTGTGCTCAACTTAAATTCTGCTCAAATAAGGTGTTTACAATGATAGATGGTACCAAAAAAAAGAGGAGAAAAATAGTGAAAATAAAATCATGCTAAGGCTAAGTAATTAAAAAAGGGACTTGAAACCAGAAATACATACAAGTAGAAGAAAATCATTCTGTGGATGTTCAAAAAACGAAAAAAGGAAAAAACCCATCATAGTGTGTTGGAAGAACATCCGTTGTTCCAATATGTTAACTTCCAGATAACTTATATGTTCCAATTTTTTTCCCATTATTTTTTGGGCTGAAAATTAAACAAAATTAACATTTGCATTGTTTTTGAATACTTGATGAACATGACTTGCTTAATTAACGGTACACCAGTATCGTGGATGCAGGTCAAAAGTCGCATCAACGAACGTTCATTGTTCAACTTAAAAGCACTAAAATT